CCCTACAAGCATCTTTCTTCCAATGGCCACTGCAGAATCACTTGTTTAAAGGAATTTTTCCCAGCGTGCCTTTCCTTTAGCTGGCCTTTTAAATGTAGCAGATACAAACAAGCTTATGCTCAACAATGGCTATTTGGTACCTACATGCAAAACATTTCTACATCCAAGCTGGCAAGTATTTCTGCTACATTTTCCTTTTCTGCAAAAGCGACGAGGAGTCCTGTGGCACCTTATAGACTAACTGAAGTGTAGGAGCATAAGCTTTCGTGGGCAAAGACCCACTTCGTCAGATTTTCCTTTTCTGTTGTTATTGCAGTGGTGTATGCTTTAACCAGATTGTATGTGAGCACTTACATCAAAGAAATATATACATAAGAATATAAAAAGGTAGAAAAAGTATAAAGAAATGACCACTGAAAATGGCTCCTCATTGGAAAGACAGCTGATTGGGGAATGGAGTTCCTCTGGAGCTACACTGAAGTAAAAAATGAAATTTGGCCCCATTATTTTTGCACTGCTAATTCTTAACTCTGTTTTAAGAATAGAAGCTGTTGAGGAGAAGCTAGAGGTTCTGACAGCTGGAACGCTTGATGCCCAGGAAGGTGCGAGAAATTGTTTAGTTGTGGAGCCTCCAAAAATGTCTGAGACTTTTTTGCAATGAGAATGGATGCATCTTCCTCTTCTTCCTCTCCCTCTCCATATGGGTATGAACACAGACATCTGGATGTAGGTTCACAGACAACCTCCTCCCACTCTCCATCAGTTCTCTTTACCAGTAACCAACCATGCAACATGACAAAACACGTTAACTAAAGATTTTTAGTAAATGATTAGTAAATGAGATTTAAATTTTTGTTAGTAAGCTCTAGAGTTAACTTTCATCGAGACAGATCAGTTAGTTCCTGCTTTTCATAGCTATTATTTTAGGCCGTGTGGAGACTAGGAAAACAATATTCCAGCTGTTAACAATTCCAATTCCTATGCTATAAACTTATGTCAGGAACTATATTTGTTACATGTCTATGATACCTAGCATAATGAGAACCTCAAGCCCTGACTGGGGTTTGTAAGGATACTTATAATACTTTTAAAAAAAGTTTCTTTTTGGCCTCCTGTTTTAAAATTAAAATTTAATTTCTGGCACACTGTTCTGTGGCAGATTCTTCAATGAATTCTACTGAAATCATGCCATAGATAAGGACTCAGGTATAGCCTTTTGTTTTCAAACTGATATAATTATGTAATGAGACTTTTCAGACTATGAAAAGCTGAAAGTAGAACATTTTGATCCCACTGTTTACACTTTTTTCTGGTGACACAATAATATAGTAGTAATCATGATCTTCCAGCAAATCAGAAGTGCATTCCCAATTTCAGCTATAAAACAACTGCAAATTTATGGTCTTGTAACCAGAGCTCTTGCCCATGATCACCTCCCAACATTCACTTACAAACAAAAAAACATTTTAGAACTTACCTAAATTACTAGATGTATTCACAGATTTTCCCATAACTCATTGATTTCTGTGCAAGAGCAGAGAAGTTGTGAATCTTGTCTGCGTTACTAATGTCTGTCTCTGATACAGACAGTGAAATGCAATGCCAGTCCAGTTCTAATTTTAACCCATGACATTGCTAGGCATAGCAGATATCACATGGGACTGCTTTGCAAAGCCACTGTCCACTTATCACCGAATGTCTTGCCATTTTTAACACAATAAGCTGTGTAAACACAAATCAATATTTGTGACCAAAAAGATCCAGTTAATATATTTGCTATGCCAAATAATACAAATATAAACAAACTAGATTAGAGTTTAGAATAACAATTGTTTTCTTTACACTTGAAATGATTTACTGCAAATAAGTTTTTCAGAAGTATATTAAATATTTGGCGATTATGAAAAGTATTATAAAGCAAAATTAAATCTGATCATACACTATTTTTGGAAGAGAAAAGGGTTTCTTTGTACTGTTCTGATTTGTTACACATGTAGTAAATTTAAACATTTGTGAAATTCTCCAACACTCCGCTATGCAGTTCTTCTCTTCACATAGAG